CACACACACACACACACACACACACACACACACACACACACACACACCCAGGTAGAGATCAGCATATTACAGACTGTGGAAAGTTTTGAGTTTTATCTGCACATGAGCCACAGGAAGCAGGAAGGAGTTTTGGGGAGGAGGAATTCTGTAACCATCCTAACTTTACCAGTTGTAATTTGGCTTTTGCGGTTTTATGACGGTGGGACCCCATTAGTTTTTGTCTTCCTCCCCTGCAGCTAATTTATCTTCCTTCTTAGGCAAGCAGCAAGAGGGGGAGGGGAACAAGTGTAGACAATAAATGTTTGATGATAGGGCAACTCTTCAAATTCCTGGGAGAACTCTGACCCAGTCAGTCTGTCAGCTTGTGGGAAGGGGGATATATGTCTCGTTCTTGACTCTTCAGGCAGCCTGGGACACAAGGCGGTGGGGGTTGGTGGGACAATCCCACAGGACCAGGAAGGAAAGCTCCCTGTCTTCATGAAGGACCTCATTCCCACTCCAGAAGCTAGCTAGGCAAAAAGGCAAAGTAGGGCCTAGCAGCCCAGGCTGAAACGTGGGGGTTTAAAAATGCCAGCTCCAGGGTTCTGAGAGGTGACGCCTCCTGGGCTCTGGGGGAAGGGACTCTGGCCTACCTTCGCTGTCCCTTCCTCCGTCGCCCTGGCCAGCACCCAGCCTCCTGCCCATGGGGAGGAGAAGGTATCAGATGGGCGGGTTTAAACGTTTGCGGTGGAAATCCAGAGGCCGCCTGCTCCTCCCTGTGAGTGTGTGTGTCTGCCTGTCTCTGCACTGAAGCGGCGGCGGCGGCGGTGGCGGTGGCGGAGGCAACAGCAGCAGTGGCAGCAGCACCATTGGCCGGACTGGACCTAAGCATTAGTGCGGTGCTGGTGGCAGCTGCCCTGTGCTCTTTTGGAGGCCCCTGCGTCCCGTCCCAGGTCACCCCCAGACACCCAGTGCTGCCATGCTCGGGCCCTAGCCCCCCAGCTCGGGTACCCCTTCCCCCCTAGCTTTCCTTCGGCTCTTTGCTTCCGTGGGGGCAGCGGCGAGGGCCGTGTGCGTGAGCTGGGGTGGCCGCCCCTGCCTCCCGCCCCGCAGCCCCTTGCCCTCTCCCTCGGCCCTCTTCATCCTCCTCCTCTTTCACCTCCACCTTCTCCCTCTGCAACCTCCATCTCCGTCGCCGTTTCTTCAATGGGCAATCTGCTGAGCGGGACCAGCTTCAAGGAGCCCACCACCGTGGAGGATTGCGACTCCACCTGGCAGACGGACTCCGAGCCCGAGCCGGACGAGGAGGAAGACGGCCGAGACGGCAGTAGCCCCGGCAGCCGCGAGGGCCCGGGGCACGAGCCGGAGCAACCAGCGGGGCCACCTGCTAGGGCCAGCCCGCGGGCAGAAGATAGCCCCGCAGCACCTGAGGGAGACGCGGACGCCGCCGGTAGCAAGGAGCAGGTATGCCCCAGAGCCTTCCCCGGGGGAAGGTGCTCGGTCCGTTCTGGTCCAATTCCATCCCTCAGTGACTTCTCCCCAGCCGTGCCCTTTCCCCTGCTTCCCCCGTCCTCCCGGAGGATTTGAGAGCATCTCTGTCCCCGAGTGGACCACTTGGTTTTGCTGCCACAGCCCGATGAAGAAGGGAGGGAGGACTCACAGAGAGGGTGAAGGAAGAAGCGCCCTCATGTTAGAGGAGAGTACACTTCCCATCCAGTGCCCTAGTCTGAATACATTTTATTTATTTATTTTTGTGGGGTAGGGAGGTGCTTCTTCTTTAAGCCCCATTCCTCCCTCCTTGCCTTCCGCAAGAAAGTGTCCAGTCCAGGGGTTCTTTTCTCCCCTGGCACGGTCCTCTCTGAGTCACCAGGAAGTTGAGGGGAGCCCTGCAATTGCAGGCAGGTTGAGAAGTAGGCGTGTGGCTGTGGTTGTGGCTGGAGGCCCAGGCCCGCTGCACATCTGTGCCCATGAATTGTATTGCATAAGGAAGTTCTTCCAAAGAAAAAACCCAATTTGGTTTGATGCTTTCCCTGCACCTGGAAGAAGGGAGAAAGAAGAACAGAGAAGCGCCGGTTAGTTAGCTAAAAATAGGCTAAGAAACCGATTCACACTTGTGGAAATTCTCTTAAACATATAAAGGCTTTATATGTTACTTTAAGGCTTAACTAAATGGCTTTCCTGACCATAACTCTGTATGGTGGAGTCTTTAGTAGGGCTAATCTCCATTTTACAAAGGCTTAGAGAGACTGCCCAAGGTCACAAGGGTTAGTAAGTGGCAGAGCTGAAACTTCTGACCCCCCAAGTTAAGTGCCTTTACCACTGTGCAGACCACACCTAAGTCTGTCCCTTTCTCCTCTTGTTAGGAGTATTACCATCAAACTATTTCTAATATTTCCCCACTTCCAGTTAAACTATTAGAACAGTTCTTCATTTACCCAGGTAGTGCATCTATCTCATCCTAGAAATTCAAATCAGTTTTTCCAGGATTATTTCACTCAGTAAACCTGCTAAAATAGGTAGTTTTAAGCACAATCATCTTTATATTTGAAACAACAATACCATATGTAATTTTGCCAACTTTTTTTTTCCAAATAAAGAAAATCTTCAACAATCTCTGATAAATCACTCAGGAACTTCTGGAAAAAGAGAAAAGAAATGGCATGTACTATTCACAGTGGAAAATCATCATCATCATCCCAAAGGCTGCTTCACTAAGAAGGGACATGCACATAAGATTTTAGAGCCAGAAGGGATTGTATATTTCTTATTGATCATTTTACTGACTGAGAAATTTAGGCTCAAGAAACTTGCCCAAGGTCACATAGCTAATAAGTGCTTGAGTCACGATCTAGAACTCTTCTGATTCCAAAACTTCTGCTCTTTCCAGTATACTATACTGCCTCTAAATTAAGCCAATAATACCCTGTTATGTTTCTATCCATCTAAATTAAATGAAAGTGGAGGAGGGGGAAAGACCAAGGGTTGGTCACTCTCCTTCCCCAGACCTCCTCTACCAGTATCATTCACATTGCAGAGAGTTTCCAACTTGCTAAAGAATTCTGTGGTTTATGAATCCTTTTGGCTGTACCTCAGGAACTTCAGTTTCCTCTGACCCTTGTAATGGTATGTGTTATAGTGCTCTGTAGTCAACTGGGACAACTGGATAAATTTAGACTTGAGTGGCTCTGATATCCTCTGTTATCCTGACCCAGGAAAGGAAATACTCTGGCATAGCATTGCAGATCCCAAGCTTCCCTAAGTCTTTCAACCTCTAGTTTCGAGAAAGAAGGATGTACAACCACCTGATGTTCTATCGATTTGGTCCTGCTTTCTTGATACTTTGGGGAGTGGAGAGTATTTGGGTATTGTAACTACATCTCCTCACCCTCTCTAGTTCATATGTAACCCATGTACCTCCCACTCTGCAGTTTTCCTTCCTTCATTTTTCTCCCATTTAAAACATAGTCTTGGGGCAACTAGGTGGTGAAGTGGATAGAGCACCAGTCCTAGAGTCAGGAGGACTTGAGTTCAAATCCAGCCTCAGACACTTGAAATTTACTAGCTGTGTGACCTTGGGCAAGTCATTTAACCCCGTTGCCTAGACAAAAATAAACAAAAATAAAGTCTTCTATTGAAGTTTAGGGGTGCCAGTTAATACAAGATAATCAAACTGAATCAGGTTCAAAAATTGACTTGTTTTAATCAGCAAGTATCATCTATGTTAGTGTTTCCTAAACGAACTATAGATGAACAGCAACAGAAGGTACATTTTTACCAGTCCATGACATATCAAGAGGCAGCTTGGTATGGTGGATAGCATGCCAGTCTTATAGTTGGGAAGATCTGGGTATGAGTTTCCGCTCTTACATGTATTAACTCTGTGATTTTGGGCAAGAATTTCTCAGGGAAATTCTTTAAGATCTATAAGTTACAGATGAGGAGCCCATCTTCATTGGTGGAAAGATATTACAAACTGAGAGTTCTCTATACTGCTAAAATAACAGGTACAGGTTAACAAATATATGGCAAGTTATATATACATCATTGGCAAATCTTTTACTAGCAAAGATCCTTATTTTCTTAAGCCTACAAATTTAAAAAATTTAAATCCGTAAACTTTAAAAAGTTTAAAAAATTCCATTCTTCCTCGCCAGACATTTGTCTTGCCCCTTGATCTATGCTCTACCCACCTGAATTATAGTTTGGATTTGCAATTAGAGATTAATAATCTATAAATGGTTTAAATAAAAACTTTGGGGTTTCTTCCACTTCATGCTATACATTTCAGTTCCTGCTTTTTTCCATGTTGCCAAAAGTTTCTGTTTTGTGGGGTGATAGGATTTAATATGAACTTTTGGTTCAGATTTTATTTTGGTCTGCAAAGGAAAAAGCAAAGAACTTTGAGTCAGAAAAAAATGGGTTTTGATTCCTGGTTCTGGCCTTTATTAGCTAAGGGACTGAGTATATCACTTTAGTTTTGAACCTAAGTGTTCTCTTTTATCTATCAAATGAGGATACTTGCAGTAGTCTCTTCATAGGGTTAGTGTGTGTGTACCACATAAATGAGTTATTATCTGGTATCCATGAGTATGTAGGAGAGAGGATTGTAAGAGCATACATCCATAGCTGAAAGGTACCTCAGAGACCATCTAGTCCAAATTAAACGAGATAATATTTATAAAGCACTTATCACAATGCCTAGCACATATCGGGCACTGCATAAATGCTAATTCTTTTCCCCTTCCCTAGACCAGACCCCTTGTTTTACAAATAAAGAAACTGATGGCCAGATTTCTGAAGTAATTTGTCCAAGGATATTTAGGTAGTGATTGATAGAGGTAGGATTTGAACCCATGTTTTTTGACTTGAGAAGAAATAATCTTTCTGATGCACCAAGAAGAGGGTTATATGATCTAACAAAGCAAGATATGTTTTGTACTATTTTATTATAAAAGTGACTCCTATAAGATTTTTTTTACACAGACCTATAATTTCATTGGTATATGGAATTCTTAGTGTGAATATTCTTTTCATTGATAGAAATTAGAAACTATCTGGGGCTTAAAGTCTTAGAGATTTGCTCAAGTTCAGAGAGGTTTAGTAATTTGACTGCCTTTGCAGGCCCTGGTTTCTGAGGCTGGACTCAAATTTAGGTCTTACTGACTTCATATCTACTATACTACACTGCTTCTTCTTGTATTATATACATTGGCTTTTGGTTTTCTTTTATCTACATTTTGGACATTTAAAACCCAAAGTTCTATTTCTCTTTGGCATACACATTTTTAAAATTTTCATTTTTATTTTTTTACAGAAGATACCGCATCTGGGGATGTTGGGCATTTCTGAGACTAAAGGTTTTTGCACTTTCACTGAGGCCAAGCTGTGAACATTATTTTGTTGATTCTAATGTCATTTCTTGACTTACTAATGCTCAGACTAAATAAGTTTGGGGACTTGCTAGGAGGAACTGTCTTCATATGTATAGTATGGTAAGGTAGCCAGAATTTAAGCTTCCTTGTGCTTATAGTAGCCAGTGTTCAAAACCAGAGGAGTTAGTGTCCAAGTATATGTTCTTGCCTTAATTGTGAGAATCATAGGATGCCAGGCTGCTACTCTGATGAAGGCTGGAAGAAACTGGTCACAAAAGCAAGTAAAGTCAAAGCCTCAACCAAATGCTAATGCTGCAAGTGGATTATCCATCTGTGTGTCTTAAACACCAACTCTCCCTCTCCTAATAATACTTATAACAAACAATAATACCTTGCATTTGTCTAAGGATCTTCAGATATCGGAGCACTTCCAGATACATTTTAACAAGACATCCAGCTTAAGAATATAGTCAAATCAAATCAAAAGGCATTTATTCAGTGTCTACTACGTACTAATCACTGAGGATAAAAGAAAAGGGAGAAAGTGCCTGCTCTCAAAAGAAGCTCACATACATGGAAACATACAAACAGCTATATACAAATATGATAAATATCTATATTTCTATATGTATGTATAGAGGAGAAATCAGAGATGGTCACAAAGAGAAGGCACTAGCATTAACGGGTATCTGGAAAGGCTTTTTGTAGGAGGTGAAATTTTAGCTGGGGCATGAAAAAAGCCAGGGAAACAAGGAGTTGGAGATGAGGAGGAAGGGAATTCCAGGCATTGGGGAAATAGCCAAAGTGCTCAGAGCTGACAGAGAGTAAATCTAGGGTGAGGAAAATCAAGGAAGCCAGAGTCACTGCATCACAGAATATGGGCAAGGTAATAAGATTTAAGAAGGCTGGACCAAAGTAATCCCATAAAAATTTTTAAAAGACATATAGATTAAGAATTTAGATTTGGGGCAGAGATTAACTTGTTTTACCTGGATTTATGAAATTAGATATCTGAGTTTCTAACTTTACTAAGATAAGATTGAAGTATCATATATGTTATTTCAGTTTGTAGGTTAATTTCAGTGGAAAAGTTTTTGATTGCTTAGCATGTGTATGAATTTTAACTTTGCTGATTTCTGATACAGTGTAATATCATTGAACGAGTAAGAATTATTCGTACTGTCATATTTTCCTTGTTGTGGTGCTATAAAATACACAGTTTATAATGCTGTTTGTTTGTTAAAAGTCCCCTTTTCCTTTCATAAATATCACTTTACTGCGAAGAACAGCTAAGTATTACAGATTTAATGAGTATTTTCTTTATAGAACTGATTTATTTACTTAACAGACTTTGGTTATGTGAAATAGTAGAAAATAAATTTTTTCATGTAACCACTTACATAACATGCAGTAAAATATGTAGTAGATTAATTTTTTTTAAATTTCTGCTGCATATTGATCTGTCACATTTTAGCCCCATGGGCTTTGGCCTCTCTTGGCTAATTATGAAGTTGATTATTTAATAGAAAAATTTGTATCAAATTTAGAGTTAAATTTAAAAATTGGAAAATTAAATTAGATTAAATTAATTAGAAATTAATTAGGAAATTATTGAATAGCAAAGAATTCTTAGATGATGTGAAGAATGAAAATGAGCATAGGAGTGTGTGTGTGTTTGTGTATAGGGTTATTATTTCAAGTTAATTCTGGAAATTGTTTCATGAATTAAACATGATATTTAATGACATAAACCAATATCCTCTTTTAGTGAGTAAGTCTGGTTTTTGTTTTTGTTTTTTAACTTTCAGAATGATGATTCCACGGAGTCAGCTGCCAAACCAAAGAGAAGCTTTTATGCTGCAAGAGATTTGTACAAATACCGACATCAATACCCGGTAAGAATGTTATGTAGAATTCTAGAACATCAGAGTTGGAAAAGACTTAGAGGATACATAGGCCAAACCCAATTTGAAACATCCACGTTAGCCTTGATAAGTGTTTTTTCAGCCTCTTCATGGATACCTCCAGTGATGGAAAATGATACCTCTGAGGACAACCTTTTTGGGGGCAGTCCCAGTTGTTAGCAATCATTCCCTTACATCAAGCCAGAATTGGCTTCCCTGTAATATAAATTAATCCCTTAAATCCTAGTTGGTCCTCTTGGGCTAAATAGGATAAGTTTAATCCTTTTTAAAGTGATGGTCCTTCTAATATCAGGTTAAAGACTAAGTCTTCCCAAAGTCTGCTCTTCTATATGATAAACATTCTTAGTTCCTTTAATCTACATATGACATGATTTTATTACCCTCATCCTCCAGGAATTATTCTCCTAAATTGCCTCCAGTTAAGTAAACTTTCTTGTAAAATATGATACTCAGAATTAAATATAACAATCCAGAGGTGGTTTTATTGGGGTAGAGCAGTGGGGTTCTTGAAAATGGTTTTATTTTATATTTTAAAAACTATTTCAATTTAATTAGTTTCCTTTGTAATCCTCTGTATTTTATTTTGTGCATTTAAAAACATCATTTTGAGGAGTCCACAGGCTTCACCAGACTTCTAGAGGGATCCAGAACACATACACATACACAAAGGTTAAGAACAGCTAGGGTTGAGTATACTGCAGCTAATAATTTTTGTATAGATATGAAATTTCTGTCACTAAAATGTAAAAATGCATTTGCTTTTTGGCTGCCTCAATAATATACTTCGAGCTTAGAGTCCCTAAACAGGCATAAGTCTAGTAGCATAAATTAATGTTTGGCCATGTCTAGTTCATTCTATGAACTGAAGTACGTTTTATAACTTATTTATTAAGTTAAGTCTTACTAACTTATTAACTTACTACAACATATTTTTCCTACTTTTCTTATGTTGCAGTGAATTAACTAAGGAGCAAAAAGCTCGACTATAGCTCTTTCTGTACCTATGTATTTACTATATGTTGTTGTTGTTTCTTTCAGCAGAACTTTAAAGATCTCCGATATCAAAATGACCTAAGTAATCTCCGTTTTTATAAGAATAAAATTCCCTTTAAACCTGATGGTAAGTAATCTAATACTTTTGATAGAAATCAAATTTTAAGCAACAATAAATGTGATGATCCATTACTTTATCTGTATTGTGTACAGCATTCTTTAAAAAGATGTTTATTTGATAGTTTTTTGGTTTGTTTTTATTTTGTGGCATAAGGTATCCCAAATGCCCTTGCTGAGAGTTGTTCTATCTATAAATGTAGTGTAAGATTTATTGTCTGCTTATTATGGTTATATTTCTTGCTGAGAATTATAAAGTAATAATGATCCAACAGAATCCCTACTTGAACCCACCCATTTCTACCATATAACAATTACAGAAACATTCACTTAGTGCATACCACATACAAGGCAATGTGTACAATTCTGACTTTTCTTGGAATATTTTTGAGTTATTAGAAATTCCTGCCACCATTTCTGAGGAAGCATGCTTAAATGGTGGCAATTTCTACAATAAATCATGTCATAATCCCCTAGGATTTTTTTGGGGGGGGGGGAGAAGGGACAGAAGAGGGATATAGTATATTTATCTTATCTCAGTATCCTAAAAGTAATAATCCCACATTATATATAGCTGTGATATAGTAGAAAGTATATTGAATTGATTGTTAGAGGACCTAGCTTAGGCCAACTCTTCCAGTGACTAGCTGTGTCTCTTTGGCTAGATTATTTTACATATCTGAACCTTAATTTCTTCATCTGTAAAATGGGGCATGATGCCAACTCTACTACCAATAATGGAATGGAAAGAATGTTGGACTTGGTTGAAGTCAGGTACAAACTGGTTGGAATCCCCTAAGTGACCCTTCAGGTCCCTTCACCTCAGTTTTCTTATCTATAAAGCATAGATAACAATACTCACAGAATCTAGAATCTACCTTACAGGGCAATTGTAAGAATGAAATAAAAAAAAAAACATGTAAAATCATTTTACAAACCCTAAACATGTTATGATGATGACCTCTTCTCATATTTTTCATTGGGGTTCAGATATAAAAGATGTTTGACAAGCATATATTCTGCTGTTATTATTATATATTTAATATCCTATGAACTACTGCACAACCAGATTTAAAAAAACTACAAAGATGAGAAAAATGAGAACAATAGTAATACTAATGATTACTACTACCATTACCATCACTACTACTAATCTATCATAAATCTAGGTCAGATTCCAAGAATGCAGTTAGTTTCTACATCATGGCTTGAAATAGACTTCAGAGTCTCATGAATGAAGGGAGATCTTGTATTTCTTGCTGTGCTAGGTAGGACTCCCTAGTATACAAGACAGAGTTAGGATGACTGGGAAGGGGGTGGATGGAGGTGAGTCCTGAGTCCTCTGGGGGACATGTATTCTTCAAATATCACTTCAACCCTATAGAGCAATGATTCCTAACCTTTTTTGGTGTGTGATGGACCCTTTGGCAGTCTGGTGAAACCTATGGACCTCTTTTCAGAATTAGTTTTAAATAATTGAAGGAAATGATAAATTTCTTTTCAGTTGTTTCTTGGCAAAGACACTGGAGTGGTTTGCTATTTCCTTCTCTAGCTCATTTTACAGATGAGGAGCTGAGGCAAACAGGGTTAAGTGACATGCCCAGTGTCACACAGTGAGTGTCTGAGGCTGGATTTGAACTTGAGAAGATGTCTTCCTGATTCTAAGCCCAGTGCTCTATCCACTGTGCCACCTAGCTGCCTGTTTTCAGTTAGAGGTTTTAGATGTATATATATGTATATACACACATATGTATATATACATGTATCTATATACACACATGTATATATGTATGTATATACATATACATATATATGTGTATATATATATTTTTCCCCCCCTTTTAGGTTTATTGACTCACTAAAATCTATCCACGTACCTTTGGCGGTTCAAAGATGCCACGTAAAGAACTTTTGCTCTAAAGCAGTAGTATCAGACTTAAATAGAAATAGATTCCTGTGGGCTGAGCATTAACGTAGGCAACCACAAATTAACCTGTTATATTGTATTATTTATTTTGTTAAATATCTCCCAATTAAATTTTAATCTGTTTTAGTCCAGAAAGTGGAGTTTGACACCTCTGCACTAGAGTATTCTCCTTAAGTGCATTGGTTATTTGGACACATCGGTATAGTGGCCACATCTGTTTGTTTTTTATCTTAACCTTATGTTCTTAGAAATTCCTCTGGGACTATATAGTTGGTTCAGGATAAATTGTTGTGGTTTTAAAAATGCTAATTATTTACTTTTTTCAAAAAGAAGGCTAAGAAACACATAAAGAGTCAAAGAATTAATAATTAGTCTAGCTCTGATAAGGATTCCATAAGTCTTCATGATCCTAATGGAAATTGTTGTAAGAAAACCCTTGAACATAGAGGTATAGCAGTTTCCTTAGAGTTATAGCAGTAGCTTGTTTTTGTCTCTTTCATTAGTACATTTATTGCTTGGGCTGACTATAATCTGAGAATCTTTACATGAGTTGTTAAGCATTTTGTAATCCTTATAGTAAGGACCCAGGTTAGGTTCATGGCAGGATTAGTGGAGTCATAGGTTTCAGCCAGAATTTTATATATGGCATTTTCTTGGATTGTCAATGCAAATATTATATAAAATAATTCGCATGACACCACCCCCTTACTTTTTTAAACAAACATTGTATCTGTAAATGTTGCCTTTAAAATGATGATATGCAGGAAAAATGCTCCAAAGATAGGTGTAAAGATTTTTTCCTTTATTTTTAGCATGTCTACAACTATAGAAATTCAGAATTATTTCTGAATTGCTTCTACAGTCAAAGAGGGAAGAAACCTCAGGTGGTGGGAGGGAACACGTTCAAAAATATTTGGAGAGAGGAGAAAGGAGACATCAGTGGGGGTGGAAGAGAATAAACATGAGTCATAGCAAAAGTATTTTTAAATGAATGAGGTTTTTTAATATAGGGGACTATGTTTTCAGTTGAATAACATATTTGCAGAATCATATTGATCACTCGGGGCATTATTTTCTATTATCTTTTTATATGTTTTATATTTATTCATCTATGTACATGTGACTTCCCCCTAGTAGAATATAAACTCCTTAAGGGAAGAAACTGTTTGGTTTTTATCATTGTATCCCTGGTGTTAGCACAGTATATGGCACACAGTAGGCATTTACCAATTTTGTCGAATTAAATTGAATTACGTATTAGAAGCCTGTTTTTTTGGGGGGGGCTCCAACATTTAAAAAATATTCATTTCATCATTCAATGTAATGTAGTACTTTTACTAACATATTCTGTGTCTTTAACTTCACACATATGTCTATAATTACAGTTATGTACATATAACTATATAGCTATATAGAAAGATATAGTTATATCTATTTATATATAGTCATACTATGTTTAAGTGTAAAACATGGTCAGTTATTATCTTTGACTGACATGAGTCTTACAGTTAATTCTTCAAACATTTTCAAATTAATCTGACTAGTTTTCTAAATATTTACTGTTCAGGTGTTTACATTGAAGAAGTCCTAAATAAATGGAAAGGAGATTATGAAAAACTGGAGCATAACCACACTTATATTCAATGGTTGGTTATTTATTAGCTATTTTAAAGCATGACTTGTTTAATTATTTGTGTTAACCAAACTGCACAAAAATAAAACTTCAATTTGTCTTTTTTTTTTTCAACAGGCTTTTCCCACTGAGAGAACAAGGTTTGAACTTTTATGCTAAAGAGCTAACTGCATATGAAATTGAGGTAATATATATCACAATTTTTTAATGTACTATATATACAAGGTTAACATATGATAATTGTACAGTATGTATATTTCAGAGTAATTTTAGCTGAATTTGTTTTTCTCTATTAGGAATTCAAAAAAACAAAAGAAGCAACTAGAAGGTTCTTCTTGGCTTATAAAATGATGTTAGAATTTTTTGGAATGAAGCTGAGTGATAAAACTGGAAATGTGGCTCGGGCTACTAATTGGCAGGAACGATTTCAGCATCTGAATGAGTAAGTAAAGCAGTCCTTTAGAAATCTTGGGCCCAATCCTTTCCAACCATTTCAATCACTTGCTCCTTGAAAGTCTGGATCAGTGATGGCCAAATTCTTTTATTTAAGTTATTTTAAAAGTATGTGATTTGTTTACATATTCCACCAAATAGAGGGAAATTTTCCCTTGTTATTGTTTAGCTGAAAAAAGAGATAATTTTTCTTGTTAACTTGAAAACTCTTGAAAAAATGTAAAAATCAGTATATTTGGGACAGGCTGACAACTTTTTTGGCTGAGATTTTTAGAATTGTCATTAATCCTTATAACCAAAGGCCTATTTTATTAATATTTTCTTGGTCCACTTGCAAACTGATTTTTCATGTTAATTGGAGGACGACATCTTTGTTGGACTGAAAAACAGCTTTAAAGCATTTTTAGAACATTATAATTAGCTGAACTAGACAAGTAGAGACAAGGGGAAAACACCCATTAACATTAACCTAAACATTTTTTCTTCACCAAAATACTTCAGAGGCTTATGCATAATTAAATTAAAATTTTATTAAGGCCTTTATTTTATGTGCTTAGTCTTGATTTTATTAAATATGTGCAAGAGTTTTCATTAACTCTTTTCTGTAACATTATTAGATATAATCAACTTCATTTTTAAAAGATTAGTTAAAAAACCATGGAGATTTGGGTCTAACACTTTATGATTTTGATGAGAAGACTCATAATATATCTACAAGTATTTATTAAATGCCTAATATGTGCCTGGCATTGTGTTAGGTGCTGGGGATACAAGGACAAAGAAAGAAATAATCCTGTGTACTAGGAGCTTACATTCTAATAGGGAAACAATAAGTACATTTGAATGAATGAATGAATGAAAAGCATTTGATAAGTGCTTACTGCATGCTAAGCATATACAAGTATGCAGAATAAAGAATTAAGTTTATGTGGTTACCAAATTTATTTAGCACCTTTAAAAAAAGTATATGCATTTCTGCCTGTCATGCAATTAGCTGCTTGTGGATGAAATTTTCTTCTTATGAAATTTTAGTTCATTTTGTAGAAAACTCAGAGTTATATGGAACTAATTTATTATTCTTTAGCAGTGTCAAGCTATGGACCCAGCACTGTAAAAAAAATTTGTGGCTTTGAAGTAGATATGCAAGAATTTTCCTTTCTTAAATACATGTTCCGTTTTCCAAAATCCAAAATATTATTTTGGAATTATTTTTCCTTAGATTTCCTAACTCCCTCCACTCCCCTCAAATGGAAAGTACCTCAAAACAAAAAAAATAGCTCACTTCTCAATCAGCTATAATGGCTGTCAGCCAGGGTCCTCGGGCTTTTAATGCTAGACAAAGAATTTTTCCCTCTAGAGATACTTTATATAAAGTAGGATCCTTTGAAGGAGCCAATGGGTGGCTCCCTATTGGTTATAGTCAAGTGAAGAGAAATTATGTTATAGTAACATTCTCTCTTCCACCCTTACTGCTTTCCTTTCCTTTCCATCTTTTGTTTTCCTTTCATCTTCTCTGGATTTTTAGGCAGACCTTGACAAACATAAAGTACAGTAAGTATTGGGAAACAAAGCCCCTTATGAAGCCCCTTCCAGTTTGAGACAGAGTAGCCATAATGTATTGTCTTTTCCAAGTTCAAAACTTGAAAGGAAAATAAATCTTATACTTAAACAACACCTTTCAACTACTCTTCAAAGTATCTCCCTTTCTGTATCTCACAAATAGGCTTAAAGTCTCTTTTAAAATTGAACTGATTTTGATTGTAGCTTAGGACCCTTGTACTCTAGTGAGCTCTTCCCCCTCTCCCCCATTCCCCCCTCCCCCCTCCACTCCTCTCTCTGTCTCTCTCCTTCTCTGTCTCTCTCCTCTCTCTCACACACACATTTATATATGTATAATATATATGTATAGATATATACATATAGACATATCTATATATCTATATCTAGATATAAGTACTAATCTATCCTCATTTTACAGTAAATGCATAAAGGGGAAAAGAGAAAAAGATGTGGGAGGAGAAAGTATATGAACTAATATGATATTTTTATGGAATCCTGGTTAGGTTAGCTATTTCATTATCCTCATTTTACATTGAAATGTACCACCCCATCAGTCAATAAACATTAAAGTCCTAGTATGTGCCAGGTACTATGATAGGGGTTAATGAAAGTGAAAATGAAGGCAAAAGAAAGTCTTTTGCCTTCAACTAATTTATATTCTGTTGTGGGGGACAATACATACTTATGGAAGTATATAAAATTGTTGCAAGGTATTTTTGGGGGAAGGTGGCATGACTTGAACCGGAGTCTTTCAAACTCTGAAGTTGTCTATCCACTCTACCTTTTACTGATCCTCACCGACTTGCTGAGAATGTTTGTCATTGACTATAAATAATGCATTAGGAGTTCAGATAAAGGAGAGCTCAGTCTGGACTGGAATAGTTGGAGAAGGCTTCATGGAGGAGGTGAGACTTGTACTGGGACGTGGAGGATGAGCCAAATTTGGAGATGCTGAAGGGAGTAATGGCGTTCTAGGCAAGGGAAAGAACATGAACGAAGGTGAGAATGAATAGGATGTATATGGGGAATAGTAAGGAGACTGGCTAGACTGTAGTAAAGGGTTTGTATTGGGGAGTAATGAGAAATAAAGGTGGATCGGTAGGGTGGGACCAGATGTAAATAAGGTTGGACAAGTAGCATGGGATCAGATTGCCAAAGGAGAGTGAGTAGAGAAGAGGCCCAGGGACAGATACTGTTGACAAGCAGTGTGGAGATACATAATGAAGTTGGATTATGAGTGGCCAGGTATGTGTCATTCCCCAGCAGCAGCACTTTGTAGTCCTGGAGCAGAAATGTACAAAGTAGATCGTGAAATGTTTCAGTGCAGTGGGGATGTTTCATTGCACTCCACACACTGTTTCTAAAATCTTGCCCTAAATGGGCAGAAAAGGAGGTGTCACCAGGGTTACAGCCTTATTTTCCATAAGTTGGTACTGTGGAGGGAGCTTTGGGGTCTCTATAAATACATGCCTTGTGGGATATAAGGCAAGGAAGGAGGGATTGATATGTGGATTATGTAATTTAAGGAGAGGAGAGGGGAAGGGTTGATTATTTTGAGTCAATCAGTCAACAAGCATTTATTAATCACTTATATACCAGGCACTATACTAAGTGTTGGGGATGTTCTTTGTTGTTCAATCATTTCAGTTGTGTCCAACTCTTTATGACCCCATTTGTTTTTGGTTTTGTTTTTTTGTTTTTTTTTTTTTGCAAAGATACTGCAGTGGTTCACCATTTCCTTCTCCAGCTCATTTTACAGATGAAGAACTGAGGCAAACAGGGTTAAGTGACTTACCCAAGGCTACACAGCTAGTAAGTGTCTAAGGCTGGATTTGAACTTAGGAGGACAAGTCTTTCTGACTCTAAGCCCAGAGCTCCATCCACCGTGCCACCTAGCTGCCCTACTGGGGATATAGAAAAAGACAAAAACACCATTGCTGTCCTCAAGGTGGGGAGGGGAAGAGGAGGAACAAGATGAAAATAACTATACATATATATATATATATATATATATATATATATATATATATATATATATATATATATATATGAGAGAGAGAGTAGAAGAAACGCATATCTGCATGTGCAATATAAGGGGTGGGGGAGACAGAATAGGTGCTGATCTGCATCGGTACGGAGAGTTTCCCAAAAACAATGACATCACAGGTCTGGTCTCAAACAACAGTGAGAATAATAACTACCACATACACATAAAGCTAATTTCTAAAATCTATTAAGATGTCTTTTTACCTCATAGTCAAAGAGGCTATAGAATTGGCAGACTTGTTGCTCTAAACATTGCTGGATTGTTATGAAATCACATTACTGTTGTTAACTATTAGATGATGAGTTACATGAAGGGAATAATCACAGTTTGCTATTTAAATTTTAAAGAGAGAACACTTGAACAGCCTTCCCTCTGAGATTACCATCTATCTACTCTCTAGATATCTTCTCCTTCTCCTCCTCTTCCTTCTTGTTCTTTTTCCTCTTGTTGTCCTTGTCCTTATTTTTGTTTTTCTTCTTCTTCTCCTCCTCCCCCTCTTTCTCCTTTTCTTTTTCCTCCTCCTGTTCCTCCTCGAAGGGCCAGCCAAGTTGTGACAAAAATTGGATCCCAGTCCTGCCTTTGACACATCCTGGCAATATGACCGCAGCCAAGTCTTTAACCTCTCCGTGCCCCATGCAATTCTTTGAGACTATGTTGTTGACTAGTTGCCTCTCCACATCAGTGGAGGGAGTTTTCTATGCTGATGAAATTGCAGGTCTGGATAAAACAAAACAGCAAATATAAGCATATGTTTGAGAGGAAGCTTGGCAGTGTCTAGAAGGCTAGACTTGGAGTTAGAAAGACCTAAATTAAGTCCTTCCTCTGACTCTAACTATTTTGGCAAATCACTTAACATTTCTAAGACTGTAAGTCATAGACCAGTTATTGTTCTGTATCAGTGCAGGGTACAACATGAAGAGTTCTGTATATACATGGATGAAAACACTAGTCCAGAATGAAAGGGGTAAGGGGAAAATTATTATAGTCAGGAAAATAAGGTACTTTAAAATCAGTATAGACATTCTAAAAGATTAATTCCTTCATTTAAATCAGGAACGTACCCAGAATGGCATTAAGCAAATAATGTTCTAACACTTTAAAATGGCATTGAGGGTGTCATAAAAAATCTTTTTGAAAAAATGGTCTTCCATTGACATTTTTCTGGTAACCACATCCTGGTATGTGAAGCAATCATTTTGAAAGAGTATGCCAATGTGACTTGCTTCTGACTACTTGGTAGTTTCCACATTTACAATTTATCATCGCTACCCTGAAAGTAGTCGCTTCTTGATTTTTCTCATATGCTGTTCCTTTTTTTCTACCCACACTCACTGACCCAAACAAAGAAATATACAAGACAGAAAATGAAACCCCACACATAC